AAAAAAAAAAGTTAAAGCTGCTAACAGATACGACTAGGAACCTGAAAAAACTACTGGTATATGTGTGCTTTACTTCGAAATTGTCGTTCATTCCGGAAGCGGAGCAGTCCAGTTGGGCGACAGGCCCCAGTCAGCTGACGCACCGTCACCACTGCGTTGATCCGATGAGTTAGCTGCCGTCTCCATTGTTTCATCATCGATAACCTCACCACGAATTATATTCTCAATATCGCCCCTGTAATCGTCAAGACGACAACCATTGTAGTAGATAACTGAAGGTCGACGGGTGTAGTTGCGATTGACCCCAATCATCATGGACCGGATTGGCATTGGTGGTAGAAAAGCATGACTCCCCGTCGGTACCAGTGGCGCTGAGTAGTAAACACTTTCGCCCCCAGCGTAGCATGTTGTCGTCTCATAGAAGGCGGCGAATGTGTAGTAAGGAAGGTTTGACCAATAAACAGCAGTCGCCGGTTTCCAGTAATCACAATTGTGGAATGTCAAACATTTCCAGGTGGAAGGAAACGCGACGTTGAGGCCGTTCGTGGAGGGAATACTGACAGTCAGCACAACATCCATTCTGCTGCAATGGGCGCAAAATCGGAAGTGCTAAGTCTTCACGAACTCGGACTCTGGTGATTCGAAGGTCATCCAGGCGAAGATGGAGACGCCCAGAGTAGAATACGGATTGGCTCAATGTTTGAGGCAAAGCTTCACGCTGCGAAAATCAAAATAACATCGAATTGTTGCCATCTATAATAATTGGAATACTCCCAAAACCTTGTTGTTTTGTGGTCAACTCGTGACATTGTTGGGTGGCGATAAGTGGTAATCAGAACACTTCCAAAATTTCATTGTATTCTGAAGTGATGACATCGTTGGATGGAGATAACCGAAGAAACCCTCCTTGTGTGGCACAGGTACCTCTCATGCCCATGGAGTAAATCCTGTTTAAATGCTTGATGGTATCGGCGAGCAGTAGAATTCCCACAGCGATTTCACCAAGATGAGTAAGAACCCCAATGAGGTGTAGTTACACTGTAGCACAGTGAACACGAGTATAGCAATTTAATTTTAATAGTTTTGAAATGCAATTCAGCTGGAACCTATCATCACAAGAAGAGTGCACGCATATATTTCTAACTACGCGCTCGAAATGACAGTGAAACTGCCCATTCTCGTCGGAAATACATCGATTGAGTCACTTTTGAATCCAGAACAAACGCATACTTCAGTACGAGATGCGGGGGGAGGGGCGATCGCAGCGTAGTTGAAGGCATAGTTTCCTTAAGAATCCTTCCTCAAGAAATACGTCCAATTCCAACTAGGACGTGGGCGTACATGAATAAATGACGTGTGTTACTGTAATAGTTATCCTAGCACTCACTAGTCCTAGGACAGCCCCCGATGATCGCCACGAAAAGTTGTCAATTTACCTGATGTTATATGCCGGAAACCCTTGGGCCGCGGTGTAGTGAATGAGCAGTCGCTAGTTAACACGGAAGTGCGTCGGTCCAATTCGACATCAGACTGTTTGGCCGATCGTCACCGCCCCAGGTCACGGAGATGCTCGTCTCGTTCAATACAGCGTTCTCTGTGTCACTCGGGCAGTTGTTTACGTGCGTGAACTCTTCTTCGTCCTTGTATTGGCCCAGCGCCATGGATCGCAGTACCCGGCCCTTCTTGAACGTATAGTCTCCAACAGAGTCGCCTCGGTCTGACACGAAATAAAACTCGTCGTCTTCGTTTGGATCGCAGCTATCGCT